ACCATTATCATTACGGGAGCCTACACCATGTTGGCCGCCCAGATGAAGCTCATCAGAGGACAATTTCCCGACTTGGGCGTTTAGATAGCCAGCCAACACCACAGTATCCGTGCTTCTTCTGTAAAGAAGGAGCTCGTGCAGTTGCTGATAGAAATCATCTTTTACCGAATCAGTGCTACAGTTTGTAGGGGCGTAAGCCGCAATGACAAACAGGCAACGTTTGTCCCCGCGCGACTTCGTAGCATGGAACGAACCAGGTAATCTAACGGCGCACATTCTACTGTTTACTGGGATCCAATCAAGCAGGGCAGCTTCAGCCCGGGGACTCAAAACAATGCCGACGCCAGCTTGACCGGCATTTGAAGCTGCATCATCGCCAGACAGGCGCAATGAGAATGTGCCGCGAGTGTCGCATGTGGGGGATCTCAGGGTAAGCACGGAGATCGAACCTTGCAGGCGGGTTTCTGATAAACAGCAAATATCGATCGATAGGGTCTCTGGTGTGCGGGTAAGTGCTGCCTGTTGGCCAATCTGCAGCAAAGTGCGCACGTTGAGGCATGCCAGTCTTAGCGAGACGCGAGGACTCCAAAGGGAAACGGATGAACTGACGTTGTCCGCTTGGTTGAACATGGACTTGTCGACTGGATTAGAGCGAGGCCCTGCGATTGTGTGTGATTTGAAATTAGAAGACAAGCGACTATTGAAGTAAGCTGGGGGAGGGCCAAGAATTGGGGGATTGAAAATGGTGCTGGACGATAAGGATGAAGAAGCGCAAGAAGGGGTATAAGAAGACGGGAAGGCCTGAACAGTAGCATCCATACCTCTATCCACCCTGCTCGATGCAGAAGATAGGACGCCGTTTATTATCCTCTGTGACGGCCAGAGCATCAAGAAATTGTTTTAGGAAAGTTTCATTGTATTTCTGGGCAGAATACTGTCAGGTTGCCTAGGCCTAGACAGGAGAACGATTAGGGTTCTCAACCAAAGCATTTGGTTCAAAAACCTTACCGCAAGGCAGCGGGTTTTGGCACTGGACTACGGAGCCCGTTTTATGAAATGAGGAGCCACCCCCATTCCAACCCCCAACCTGGAGGACCAGGAGGCTGAGTTTGTCTGGCCTCTAACCATTGACTCAATCTGGTGTGAGTGGCTCTGAAGGTGCAAAAAAGCACTACCCAGCATAGCTCAATGGATCCCTGAGGCACGCAAACCATCGCACCACGGTAAGGTCCAGCCTCATTGCCAGCATACCCATATGCTTTATTCAATGTTTTTTTATTTGACATAGTCATTTCACGTGATTGGCTGTTGCTTGACATCCTCCGTGTGGTTGCGCTTGATGTAAACCTTGACATGCTGCTTACCTGTCTATTATCCACCACATCATCTATACTGGCCCCAAGAGACAAGCGTTGCTGGGGGCCGCGGTGCACGGTCGTCGTGCACCTGCTGGGCTCAAAGTGGGCTTCCATCCAGTGTGGAACAGACCACGATCCAGCCACCGCTTTGTGTATGTCTGGTACGCATGATCCCCCACATGGACAGAAATGCTGCTGCTGTGCATGTTGAGAGAGTGTGGATCGGCTCTGTTGATGGAATGCGGCTCCCATCCACATGCCTCCCGGTCTTATTCCTTCGGGTTTACACTAGATATGGGGTGTGTGGTTGGAGCTGTGGGTGGTGCACCGCATGCCACCCATGGTCCCTCTGTAGGCGCAGGCGTCCTATGGCTGGCCACAGTACCAGGCAAATCCGAAACCGGATGCCGCCAACCACATGGATCCAATCACAGCAAGACGTTAAGTCAATGCTTTCATATGCTGTCGCCAGGTGGATGCTTTATCACCGCATGGTCTCTTCCAGTCGACTCCTACACGAACGAACAGTGTGTGATGTCGCTTACGCTCAGCTGACCTATGCAGAATGCAACCGAGCCAGCTTAACTGGTCCAGTAAAGCCAGACTGTTCATGGTGACACTCGCATTCTCTAAGACACGACTTCGCCGTTGCAGATAAGTTGTTACCACGACACAGGCAATTGTACTCAAGCACCCATTAGTGAAGGCCGAGAGCCGGCGTATGTCATCTACGCAAATCGGCCATGACTCACTGCCATATGCCAACACTGTCCGAACTGCGGCATGGCAAATACGACCCTTTATCATTAGGGAAATATCCCGACGCCACAGCTGTTGCAGGTTGACACGCACCCCAGAATTTGGCGATACGAAGAGATATTTCCTTATTTCCAGCATAGCCAGCAGACACGCAGCTGCTCAGGTATACAAAGCTAGCAAGGTGTTCAAGCGGTACAGCTTCAAAAGCGTGGGTCAATCCTGGAGCAACACTGCATTTTGTCAGGGCGAAGCACATTCCGTAATTAATTCCCTCAATCGCCAAACGGTTTAGAATGGTTTGCGTACTCTGAGAATGGTCACCAAGTAGGGCGGTATCGTCGGCATGATCTTAGACGATTGCTTGCTTGCTCGGTAGTGGTCGCCGTCCAAAATGTTGATAACCCTCCAGTACTCACAACAGGACGTTTTCAATCTCCAGCTTGATGTGGAACGAAGATATAGGCAGTCCTGTCGTACATCTCTACTGACGGCGAGGTACGAAGAAAGCTTGCGATAAACCTTCACTCTGCCGGTAACGTGGAGATTGAGTATGCATAGAATGGTTGTATCCCGTTCCTCAGCAGGCGACGCCATAGCGCAGCTCCATCAACCGAGTCGAATGCAGCACGGATGTCTTAAAATGTAACGATGTTAGACTTTTAGTAGACGTGGCAGTGTTCGTGGATTTAGCAGAGCGTGAGTGTTTGATCCACGTACCCATGGCCAGGACGGAGGCCAGCTTGTTCTTCCCTGTACTGCGATTCACGAATCGGGGATAGTCTACGAAGTAGAGTGGATGCCAGTAGCATTCAACCCCAACATTTTGTAGCCAACTTCATCTTACTCAGTTCCGTTCAATTACTCTTTCCCACCAGTATCGATTCGTATTGTCCCACCGGCACAGGTCATTGCAGTTGTATCCATCCCACTTCGGTGCCTGGATCATAGTTTTTCGGCTGAATTGCTTACGCATTACTACCCACACTCTATAGCTTCGTCAGCTTCTGGTTATATAAGTCTCAGTTCGAATTCGCCAGTCGATGGCTGTAAGTGTTGCTTGCATGCGTTGTAATCCGACAGTCACCGGTTCGATTTCGCGTATGTGCACGTGACTGGTGGTGGTCTCGTGGTAGTGAGCCGTTGGTACGATGTGCCGGCATACTGTCGAAGTTTTCTATTCTAATTTTTCTCCTACAGTTCAAACTGGGTTCCTTCTTGTTCACCATGAAACCACTAGGGTATATTCCGAATACCTTCACACTCATTCATCCCAGATAGGTTAACAGCTAGTCAGATAAACTCAGTCTCAGATTCTTTCTCGCTGCGTATAGTAGAGTCTGGTATCCCTGTTCACCGTAGGCGTTAACAATTTGGTTCAAATTTTACTCACAGTGTTTTTCGCCACGCCGATAATTCCGGTTTTATCGCTGGGATTATTTACGTTGTTTGGGTTTCACCCTGTTGGACTTCTTAAGGCGATGTATCTTAATGAATCCCGCTTAACAGCCACTTGAGTACTATACGAAAAGGCTTCACCAGCGTCAATTGTCACCATCCAAAGACGCTACTCTTATTGTTTCTTTGTACGCTACCACCAACTACGAAGAGAAGCCATTTTGCAATGGCGACTTTCATCACCATTTAACTGTTTGATCAGCAATAGGGCTATAACGATCGTTGCGAATGTCCTAGTCGGTCACAGGTCAAATTCTGAGCGCGCAGTCTAGATCATGTGAAGCGCTAAAAGTCGCAATCTCCTTCTTTTGGGCAGCATGCAGATCACCTTTATACCAGCGGATATATTAAGTAACTTCTGACTTAGTTGGTGGCTTTCAGCCATCATTTCTAGTTTTGGGTGGTACCAGTTTCGTCAGTCATAAAATCTAGTGACTCACGCTTTACGCTGTGTGTACGAGTACGCCTTGCTCATTGAAGTCACCACATACAACCACACAGATCAGCTGGTCAGTTGTTCACTCAGCAACGGAGCACATTGGAATCTTATGACGTTGGCGCTCTTTGCCATGAAACTGTAAGCTAAATTTATTAGCGAGCGATTTCGCAAATAAATTTACTGACAAATTTCTTTCTATGCTGGGTCGAGGTGAATTGTGAGACCGTATGCGAGAACGCTACCTAACTTGACACTCATCTACGGCAAATCTCCACAACAATGTATTAGTACTTTGTACTAAGATTTCGCTGTCGCATATCCATAAATCATGAATCCGAAGAGGGTAGTAGACGTACGAAGTGTAAGACTCATCTGCGTTTTGGAAGGCATTCGAAATCGAAGAGTCTGCGCTATGTCGGCTCCATACGATGGTAGTAGCACAGCTACCCGGAGTTGCTGAGGCTGACTTGGCGCTTCAAGGCTCCTACTGGTTAGCAGCGGTATACCGACACTTTGTGTTGCTGTTGTGTTACCACACAACCCCAGGCGGCCCCTTGCTGATAGGGATACTACAAGCACGTCCAGTCTGCTGCAGAATTGGAACTAGAAATCAGTGCACTGCCATTGAGTTCCAGACGGCTGAATCAAAACACTACCAGTCCTACTGGTTTTAAGTGCCGACCTAGCTAAAGCCCGTTTTCAATTATTTTTCTCTCCCTCTTAATTCACTCACAGGACGTCTCTGGCACGAACACAGGGTATTCGCAATGAGACCTTAAACTATATCCTACTACGATCATCTTGCTAATTTTCCACGATCGGCGACTGCAGCTCCCAGTGGGGATCTGTTCCCTATGATGCCCATTGATTGAACGGTGGCATGTCTCATGTCTGTCCGTCCATACATGCATGTGTCACATTACGGAATCTTTGCTTTTCATCCACATGCCCTCACCGCTTATTTTTCTTCTCCCATCTCTCTTCCGCAGATATCGGCTCCATCATGCATGTGTATTGTCTGAACCCTATTCAGGATGCGGTCTCGTGGACGGACAAACCGTTTAGTTATTACGTGCACACTATCGATCGATCTTTGGTACGTCGCTTTTCGTATTCTCTCTGTTATCCTTGTACCATTATTCCTATGCGCTGCTTGGGATCTTGCCTTCAATTGTATTCACCCTCCGTGGAATGTTTGCCTTTCGGGACGACAGTCTGATACTGACGAATTGGAGAAAAGCTTCTCCGATTGAACAACTGCTGCTAAAGCTTCAAAACCATCGGTCAATTTGGTTCATTTGACTGGTTTTTCAGTTCAAATGATCCTCCATCCGGTGGCTGTTTTTCAGACCTAGGCTTCCTGACTGAGAACAAGACACTAAGGTTCGGTGGTTTCGGTTGCGTTCCTTCAGTGTACGATGAGAACTAATGAGATAAAAAGAGAACTATTAGGCATCAGTCATTTGGAAAATGATCGCTCGGGCATACTACTAAGGTTTGCCAACAAGGGACCGATTCCAAGTTGGCTAGGACATCAACCACAGACTCCAAGCTACTATCCTGGAAGATTGTGATTACGAACTGAATTTAGCCGCCCTGTCGTTTCCTTACATTCCTGCTGTGTAATTCAACGACCGCTCGGTGGGTTCATTCACATAGGTGCGGTTAGCATATGGACAGCATACGGTATCCGACCTAGGCGATTCCAAATTCACGGGTATTCCAACGGGTCTGTAGTCAATCTTTTGCTTAATCTGGTACTTCGCGAACAACATCGTCCTGGTGTTTGACCATCACGAGACAGAACAGTTGGCCCTGGATAAATTCTGCAACGTTGTTCCATTATTTGTTACTCGCTTCGCACCCTCAAAGTGCAGTGTGTCGGTTGAACTGCGCTGAGCTTGGCAATTTTGTTGCAAACGTCTCACCATCACTCGAAGTGACATCCACATGGCGTTGTTGCGTAGGCTGTGGTATCGTAGCGTAGCGTAGGGAAGCCTCAGTGAAAGTGCCAAGCTCAACGAACAGTTCAGCCGCCATCTGAACAACTTGAGTTATCAATTTTCGCCACACTAGCCACCAAGGTGCAGTGTTTTTACTTGACCACTTACGACGAGGAACTGGACATAGTTGGTCGATTATCCTATCTTTGTACTCGCTTTTTGACTACATATTACGGAAACCAGGAATGCCATCTTCAGCACGAGAGAAGCTTTTTCTAGGTCTTGCATCACGTATGTATAGAGTTGCGGTTTGACTATTACGATCTGTGAACCTCAGCTCAGAGCGTCGTTACACAGGGAGTATTGCTGTGGTTCGGCAGGCCCAACATGTCCACAACAGTGTGATGCGTAGGCTAGCTGGTACTCGATCAGCTAATTACACTTAACACCTTGCATTGGATTAGCTATGCTCACGTGTGCATCTACTGCTTAGCGAGGAAAGCCGTATTTGATTCATGGGATTTTGGATATAACATTCGATGCGAGTGCAGCTGGCTGGAAATGAGGTTACTGTCGGTTAAACTGTGCTTTTGGACTCTTTTGTCTTCCAAATTGGAGTCCACGCAGTCCACATTATTTTCGCCTCCTTACTTTATTGCATATGACAAACAACCTGCACCAATGTGATTTGTTCGCTCAATTGTTGAGTGATTAGCTTGCCGGGCAGTTTGATTAGCAACGCGTCGTCACTAGTCGAGATAATGGTGACGGCTTGTCTACGAATTCTGACAACAGTGATGGTGAATATCGTCAGCCATTGCTTCGTTCTTGATACCGTCTTCTGGCGCTAATAATCTACCAGTCGGTGGCCGAGTGGTTAAGTTGTCTGGATCGCGTAACCCACTGGCTCGTGCCTGTGTTCATGCGACCGACATCGTGGTACGCGCAACTCACACGCGACTGGTTGTAATTGCGTGGCAGCGAAGCGTCCGCACAATTAACCGGCGTACTGTTGATGCATTCTGCTTTCCTTTTTTATACATCTGGCACCGATAATTCCCATTGACTGCAAAATTATTGTGATGTGGTTGTGATTTTCACAGTTCGATTGGTGCTGGTGTTAATTTTGCTGACTGGGTTTACGTCGCCTGCCCCTTTGGTTGTGCAGACACCGGATGGTTTCGTTTCGAACTCCCTTTTTCCATTCGTCTGCCGTGTTGTTTGCGGGAATATTATGTGTGACTGATGTTATCTTCTGACCGAATTATCTGATTAAAGGGCGTCTACTGCTGAATGATCCGTGGGGGCTATTACGAGGATGCAATGATAGTCACAAGGAAGCTACGTATAGCCGAAACATACACGTAGCTGTCAATTTTTGTCTATGTATGTAAGCGACAGATTCGCTTGGGGCTCTCGTGTGACTCGTACAAACTCCCGGGTCGAACCAAGCAAGGAAGCCGAGACGTTAACTACGGTACTATTAAACAAAATAAAACTCAACCACATATTTACATACCTCAACAGTGCCCGTTCAGTACTGAAACAACCGGGTCTTTGTACAGTTACACAATGAAATAGCGTCGGCGCACTTGCTACCGTACAGCAAGGCCACACATCACAGATTCCAAGAGAGGAATACGAGGGTTCTTTTTAAGATGTCTGAAATGTTATCCCATTGGTCCGCGGCACGGCGCACAGGAAGATACAAGGGGTCATTACATGCAAATGAAATGAGAGTAAGGCGTCTCGGTGCGGATATGAAATCACAGGCCAACAAGGGCCTTGGGGTTAGTAGCGCGGGGGTGTGTGCACAATCGTCACAACGGGTATGTAATGGGAGCAAATCCATGCCGAGTGGTGGCACACCTGGGCATGTTGCACAGTAGGGGCACGATTATATCTTACAGTGGGGTTGGAATGAAGCCACATAGACATGGTTAGGAAAACAATGAATCGCACAATAGCCCGTAGGAGCAGGTGTCAGATAAGATTATCGGGTGCAAGTCTCATTACCATGGTGTGAGTTGCAAGGAAAACATGGAGCTTTGCATAGTTAATGGGTTATCCGGGATCACGGCAGAAGACGCAGATGGTGTAGTTATCCGACTATGGTCTTGACATGCAGACTGCAGTCTTCGTGCTTATTCTTCCGCCTACAGTGTACCTTGATCATGAATGTTTACTTGCAGTCTTTGTGTTTTCCTCAATTTCTATTTCTTCTATCTTTTATCATCATTAATACTAGCAGTAGTATTATTAGTCCTTAGTAGGATCTTTATTGTCGTCTTGCGGTGAACCATCAATGGAGGCGACTGCTTGTTATACATCGGTTGTCACTTTTTCGTTGACAATCTTCAACCAGTGAATAATTGTGACCCACCTGATGCTCCTGATAAATTGGTGCAAGTTCTCATGTGCACCGATGGTCGGAAACCATCTCTTAATCTCCTCATTGCGTGTTGTCTAGTGCTTGTCGCACCGCGGTGTTGTCTCACATACCTTGTTAACAGTGCTGCAGCGGGTTCCTTATTATCGTATGATGCAGAAAGCTTTCTCTCCGGGTGGACGAATTAAGAGAGTAGGGGGAATTTAGTCGTCCAAACCGGGTTCATCGCAAATAGGCCTAGTCAGCTGCTCGCTTGACACCAGTTTCTTCTTTGCGGATCTCACTGACAGTGCGCCTCACCTCGCCCCTTTGTGAACTCCTCAAAACCGCGACAGAATGTTTTCTTTACCGAGACTCATACCTGAACTACCACGGATGCCAGCACCGATGTAGGACGAAGTAAATGTTGTGTTATATCACAGCTCATTTTCCGCCGGCTTACACTTTACTGGTCTTTAGAGGACAAAACAGCTCCCCCTCCCTAGCAAGGGTTTCTAAAATTATACTCACTAATCTACAGAATTATAATCTATTTTTAACAGCCTAATGAGGCTTTCTACTTTATCCTAATTACGAAAAATTCCTTCCCAATTAATGGTATTATTTTGGCCTTTTGAAAATGGTTGTAGTAGGCTATCTGAAGGTGTCACTGCTTTTATCTGGTACCGTTTATGTCGTGGTCAATTCTTCCTCCATTGGGATGGGAGTCAGTCCGTATTTTTCTGGTTGGACTGTTCTAAAGGCTAGCGATCAACTCTGATCGACTTAGAATGGCAAGGTGGCTCGAGGCTTGTCAGTTTTAACCGTTTGGCTCTTTTCAAAGGTATGTATAGAAATGCTTCCTCCTCTGTAACATGTCGCTTTGAAGAACTTGAGATAAGGAAGCCGCAAACCATTGTCACCTCAGTCAGGTAACAATGGTACGAGCCATGTACCATGCCCCATTTCTGCCATTCGTGGCTTCAGATCTGTTCAATAGACCATACAATCAGTGGTGATCCGACACCGTCTAGCCAACACTTTGAAATAGTCGGTCGGAGTTTCGTACGAGGAATCTACGAATTTTACCAGCAATGTATACGGCTATTCTGCGGACCATTTCTCGTTGCCTTTCTTTTGCAGCCGTTTGGCTCTATGCTGCGTCGATTTTACCGACCGGGAATCTCGCACGATCCAGTTTTCATTACTTATGGAATTCCAACTACCTAACACTTATCCAGGGTTTGCAACAAATCGGAATGAAATGTGTAACCATATTGCCCAGCTCGCAGACCAAATCAAAACAATAAGCTACCTAGGGCGTTAAAAACCGACTCGTCTGGATTGCCTCAGACCAATTTTTTTCCTTAGATTATGTTCGCATCCAAAGTGGACTACCGGCCGTCCTCCCTTTCCACTTTAGCCACTACATATTAGCTTTGCGGTAGAAAAGGGGTTTTCTAGCCGGGTAGATGAGCGTCAACAGTACTTCAGCCCCTCGTGTCTGTGTTCTGCTGCCCTGCATCCACAGGCGGTTGTATATGGGTTCGGATGCTGTCGGGACACCCAAACCCATGAAGGAGCGAGGACTATAGACCAGAGCACATAGGGTACGTATTCACTTCTGTTCAGGACATTGTAAGGTAGGGCACCAGTAGTACGTCGGCACACCGTATCGACGCTACGCTGTCACACGACCACCGCCAGTCGCGCGAGGTCGCCCGCACTTACGCGGATTCGAACTGGCGACCTCAGGATCACAACGCAAGTGCGCAATCTTTTCGT